TAATGATCCTTTTTTTTTTTTTTTAATCCTTTGACCATTGCTTTAAAGGACTGAAAAGATTTGGTTGGGACCGGAGAACATGGGCTTGCCAGAATACTTCTGACAAAATGCAAAATGTATTAACCAGAACTAATGTACCCATTTTGGTGGGGCACTCTTCTAAAGGAGAAATGCGAGTAAAAAGAGAAGCATTTTTTTTTTTTTTGCAGAGTAAGGTGGGTGGACCATAAACCAGAGGTCCATGATTTAGTCAAGGCATTTCTCTCACATAGAATGCAATGAAGTTTCTCATTATTAAGAAAAGGAAAGAGCAGGAAACAGGCAAGTCCTTAAGGAAAGGCTGCATTTTCTTAGAGCGCAGCAGTGTGTTCTTCTAGCTGGTTGTTTTAAAGTAGTAGGAGATTGCATTCCTGGTGAGCGCCAGCCTTCCACGGTCATTTTTGCATTTGCTCTCATGGTCAGCAATTATGAGGTAAGACAGAAGCCTTTTTTCAGAATTGGTTCACTCTCATTGGAATACAAAGAAATGAGAGTGATGAAATATCCTGGACTTGGGCATGATCACACTTGCCATGACCTCACAGGAAATCAGTATTTTTTTCATGCCCTGTCTTTGTACAATTTTTTTTTTCCTTTTCGCAAACACTGCAGAGTGGGAATCCTCTCTGCAGCCTTCAGCCGCCATGACGCAGTGAGAAATTAGCATGGCTTGATTCCCGGAACACAGCTTTGAGACCATTTTCCCAATTCTGTGTTCAGCATAGGAGACTGCAGGAATCAGGCTCCTCCCTGGAGGGGCCAGGGGCTACGTTTCCAGGCTAAACCTTATATGGGTTTTACAGTTGCTGAGTCATGTTTCCCAGCTTTGAAAGGAAGAATGAGAAGTAAACTTGGGCCTACCACAGATTCATTCACAGTTTTGTAATTTAGGTCACTTGTGGTGGCTTTGGGGTCTTTAATTATCATGACTTAGCCCTTGCACCTTATGAGAAAAAAATCTTGGTTAGTGGATTTGAGCCCAAACTGAAGGTGGAAGTATCCACAATTTAGGCGAGAGATGGGGAGGTGTGGTCCACTTTGCTCCCTCTCCCCCCGGAACTTCACCCTGACCCCCTCTGCTGCAGCAGACGCTCCTGGAGAGGGTGGTGTGCATACCCAGCCTCCTCTCTGGGTAAGGCCCCATAATTGGTGTCTGTCTGGACCAGTTAATCGGGCCGTTGAACTCCTGGGGCTTTAGTCCCTCCCCTCAGTGAGGTGGAGCACTGAGGAAAGGGACTTCTGTTCCAGATGCACAGCTCAGTAGGATCCTCTCATGCTGCTACACAGGCTGGCACGAGAAACCTATTGCTTCCATGATCTCAGAGGAGGAGGAGCCCGAGTCCCTGGGTTTGCTTCATCCTCCAAGGTGGCACGCATCAACCCCTCCTGGAGCCTTCCTCACCACACTCAGCTCCCCTGCAGTGGAAGCACAGCGGCAGGGGTTTCCACAGCCAGTGAGCATCAAGCTGGGGCGGAGGATGCCAGCTCACTTTCTTGCAGCGTGACCCATCCATGGTCAAAGGGGAACATTCCTCTTCCCTCACCATAAACTCCGAAACTCATCAGCCCCCCCACTTTATCTTCTGAGCTCAATCTCCCTACACAGAGATTGCAAAACGGCAAAGCCACTTGGGATAACAGTGTGGCAGTTTCTTCGAATGTTACTCACAGGATTGCTTTGTGACCCAGCACATGCACTCCTAGGAACATACCCAGAAAAAAATAACATACATCCATACAACAACCTGTGCACAAGTGTTTACAGCAGCATTATTCATCAAATCCAAAAATGGAAACAACTTAAATGCACATCAGCTGGCAAATGAATAAACAAAATGCAGTATGTACATACATGCAATGAAATATTATTCCACAACAGAAAGAACACACTATGGTGTGGGTGAACCTTGAAAACCTCCTCAGTGAAAAAGAAGCCAGAAAGCTAGACACAAAAGAAAACATACCATCGGATCCCATTTATAGGAAATGTCCAGAAAAGGCAAATCTAGAGGAACAGAGGATCCATTAGTGTTTGCCTAGTTCTGGGGGTGGGAAAGGAAGTGACTAAATATGGACAGGAGGAATCTTTTCTGGGTAATGGAAGTGCTCTAAAATTTGATGTGGTGATGATTATAAAACTCTACATAGTTGTACTGGGTTGTAAGTCTGTGTGTGTGTGTGTGTGTGTGTGTGTGTGTGTGTTGGGTAATGAAGATATACTTGGATTGAGTTGAATAGTACTCCCCAAAGTTCATATTCACCAGGAGCCCCAGAATATGACCTTATGTGGAAATAGGGTCTTTGCAGATGTAATTAGTTAAGATGATGCCATCCCACATTAGGGTGAGTCCTAAGTCCAATGACTGGTGTCCTTATGAGAAATCCATGTGAAGACAAGAAACACTCAAGGAAGTATGCAATGTGAACATGGGGACAGAGATTGGAGTGATGCTGCCACAAGCCAAGGAAGGCCTCAGGCCACCAGAAGTTGGAAGAAACAAGGAGAGATTCTCCCCTAGAGCCTTCAGAGGGAGCATGGCCCTGCTGTCACCTTGGTTTTGGACTTCTGGCCTCTAGAACTGTGAGAGGATACATTTCTGTTGTTGTAGGCCACCTAGCTTATGGTAATTTGTTCTACCACCCTAGGAAATGAAGACATTACTACATCCCATTCAATTATACACTTAAAAGAAGTGAATTAAGAAGATAAATTATATCTCAATAAAGATGTTAAAAAAATTAAAATTATCTTAAATAGGCTAGAGGAAGGGACAGATTGGGACTACAGGTTGGGGGACGTTGGATCCAGTTTTGCTGCTTCTCAGATATGCTGGCAGAAAAGCCTTCCCACAGCTGCAGGCAACTTTCTTGAAAATGTGGGACTCAGTGATTTTTGCTCAGTTCCCAATTTGTCCAGTCCACATCTTATTATGGTCCACATCTTGTTATCCCTGCCACATGCCTGCTGACTGTAGAGAAACTTCTAAGTCAGCAGTTCTCAACCTGTGGGTCGC